GTAAACACAACTTGTGGCTCTGGAAAGAGAGAGAAATTCAGAGTTTCTCCAAAATACAACTTTGTTCAATCCCCTTATTGTAGGTAATTGCAGGTACACTGGAAATTGCAGGTAACCTTCTTGCTTGCAGGTAACACTGGAAAAAAAAAGCTCCAACATGACAAGGTACACCTAAACCAATCAGAAGAACATGCAAAACATTTTGTTTGGGGGTTTTGTGGTGTTTTTTGTCTGGTTTGGGTTTTTTAACAGCAGCCATGTCTGTATGGTTCATAAGAACTTTGTCTGGGAGGATCTAGTCAAGGTGGGACACAATTTGGTTATAGTCAAGTGCAAACCAACGAAGTTTTAGAGGAAGAAGCTGCCTGTGCTGCAWCATAGTCCCATCTAATTGATTTCTTTGATTCTCAGCAGCTGCTTCTGCTCCTTCTTAGATCATTTTGTTAAGTGAGAAAGGTACTAGACCAGGAATGACACGTCCAGACCATGTTCTTTGCTCTCAGCACAACCTTGGCAATGCTCAGCTCATCTCACATCCAAATGGTGAAATTCCTCTTGTTCTCCAGAAGACGCAACAGTCACACCAGTTGGAAGTGGATTGGGAAGTTGTGAAGGAGATGGGAAACTGAACCCATTTCACCTCTCTAAAGCCCCAGTAGGGCAACAAATCTGGAGTGAGTCTCCATGGCACCTTCTTTCCCTGCTTGCCATTTTCTGAACACCTTAAAGACCTTAATATTTATCCGCCCTACTTCCATTTCTCTCTTCAGGCTGAAATGAGCACTTCCAAGGGAAAGAAAAGGAATATGGACATTTGGCAGGCTCTTCATCATCACCTCGTACTGAGAACGAGCTGTGGTGCAGATTTGTTCCCACACAACCAGTGCTGGAGGAAGGAGATGAACAATCAGTACTTTCTTTTTTGACAGCCATTTCCCTCCAGTGATGCATAGCTTCAAAGATTTTCTGGGGATTCAGCTCCCTGTTTTAAGGACTTTAAATGTTTTACAAAGAATATATGAAGAAAACCGTATTTGTACCCATCAAAGTTAGGCCATGCCAATGTCGTCCTCCAAAAAATTTGAAGTGTAACAMAAAAAAACTTTATGAAATAATGTTAGTTTTTCTAAAGACTCTAGAAATAAGAATGATGGGCTAAATAATCTTTTCCTACCTGGGACATTGATCCTGAAGGTGAGTTTTTGGCCAGCAGCCTCGCAGGTGTACTCCCCAGCATCTTTCTTCTCCACCTCACYCACCACCAGACGACGSSRTTTGCCCTCRGACTCCACCTTGAATTTCTTGCTGGAGRTGATGAGTTTYCCATCCTTGTACCACTTCACCTCYGTTTTCTCCTGGGCCACCTCGCAGCTCAGYGTGGYATTTTCTGACAGTGCAGCTTTCACCTCTTTCTGCAYCTTCTCCTTGTTTGTAAACACAACTTGTGGCTCTGGAAAGAGCAAGAAATTCAGAGTTTTATTAGCATTTAAGAGGAACCAATCTGATTYTTATTTATGCCTCAACRTTTGTCATGTGCTGGGAGCTCTGTCCTCGGGAGGCTTYGCCTGGCAGCCAGTCGGGGGAGAGAAAGCTTCCCCTTCAGATCTGCCAGCACCCTGCTCCCCCTTGCTGGTGGGGCAGATACCTGGATGCCCGGGAAAACAGCGTGCGGAAAAAAACGAGCGGGAAAAAAAAAAACCGTGCGGGGGAAAAAAGCGCGCTGAAAGAACGCGTGGGAAATCACGCCATAGGAGGGCGCGGCACATAGAAGCAGCTAAGTGCGACACAAGMGGGGACATTTTCCGTTGGGGTTCTTGGAGGGAGCAGGAGTCCGCCTAAAGGGTCACCTTGGCCCTCCTCCATCTTCGCTTTCTTTTTTTTTTTTTCTTTTTGCTTTCCCTCCCTGCGGTCTTGCTGTTTTCCTGGCTGCCTTCCCTGTCTGCACCTATCCTGTCCGTGTGCCCTGTTTTCCCGTAGCAGCTTTTCAAGGCGACAACCTCGTGTTTGCTGCCTYCYGGACGGAGCTGCTGGAGCCRCAGCCGTRTGTCCGGCAGTGTCCGCAGCCTCAGCCTGTCCCCAGCCGTGTGTCCGGCRCAGTGCCCGTAGCCCCGGCCGCCCGTTCTCCGCCRAYGGGAGGGACACGCAGCCGCTGCTGATCAGAAATCGCATCCAGCCCGCCCCGGGAGCCGTGCAGGCTCCTCGCAGCTCGCAGCGAACCCGTTCCTTCTGCCAAGCTGATTCCGATGGGACACCCAGGGCACAGCGGGAACAATCTGCTATTCTGTCTCTCCGTTTCTCTTTTCCCCTCTTTGTTCCCTTTTCTATCCCCCTTGGTAGTAAGTGGTAGGAACGCTTACCCTTSTTTATCAATAAACAGTTCTCAGATATAATATCTGTGCTTTACTTTTTGTCMAAGAAATCTATKGAAAGAATCCTTCCCGACTCCCTCTTGCCACAGCAGGACAGGACAGCACTATGGAAACCAAGTTTTTGGTGATTTTATCTGCTTTGTTTTGGTGAATGAAGACATTGGGCAGACATCCTGCTGCTCTTCATCAAGACCTTACTGTGAAATTCACTGMAAATCAGCTGCATTGCAGAATTGTTCTGGTTTCATCAACGTGTGGGGATGGAGAGATGCAATCAGTACTTTCCTTTTCTTGGCCCTGTTCCTACACAGACGGGGAGCTCCTAAATCTTGTCAAGGATCGAGTTCCCTATCTTAAACATTTTACTGTGCTTTGCATAGAACACACAGAACAATACCAATTTTTCTAAGTATTTTAGAAATAGGAAAGCCRTGCTAAACAATTTTCTCTCACCTGTGACATCRATCCTGAAGGTSAKTTTKTGSCCAGCAGCCTCRCAGGTGTACTCCCCAGCATCYTTCTTCTCCACCTCACYCACCACCAGACGACGGCGTTTGCCCTCGGACTCCACCTTGAACTTCTTGCTGGWGGTGATGAGTTTCCCATCCTTGTACCACTTCACTTCTGTTTTCTCCTGGGCCACCTCGCAGCTCAGTGTGGCGTTTTCTGACAGTGCAGCTTTCACCTCTTTCTGCACCTTCTCCTTGTGGACAAAGGCGTCTTCTGCCTCTGAAATGGGGAAGCATAATGGGAAAAATGTGTCAGATCTTGTGGCAAGAAGCTCTCATATGTAKTTGGTGCAGATGCTCTGCAGGATTCTGGACCTGGCAGTCCTGAGTCAACCACATGGACATGATGACCTTAAAGGTCTTCTCCAACATAAATAATTTAGTATTAAACTCTTGCAGCTTTGCAGTTCTATTTATCACATAAATAAAACATATAGCCTCAAAATACAGTCAATGCAATCATCATCCCTCTCTGACTTGTCTTCTGAAACAGCTCATGCACCTCACTTGCAAATTTGTTACAATGAATGTAAAGATAAAATTCTCTGTTGTGTCTTTATGTTATTTCTGCTCCCCATATTTGGAACGTGCAAAATACGACACGAGTTGCCACCTCCACTATCACATTATTTACATGATTTTACAAGGTATTTTAGAATAAGACAGGGTGTCCAGAAAATATCTTGTAACCCAATCCTAAAGAGAGCACAAAGTTCTCAATAAGGACAAACACCTGACGAACATTACACATAAAACTAGCATTTAAAATTTGAAGTGTGTTTTTATTTCCAAAAAAATCTATGATTTTTCAGCAAACTGGCCTCATGACAGGAGAGTGCAGCCAGGGAGGGTSGGGCTCTGCTCCCAGGGAAAAAGAGACAGGATGAGAGGAAATGGCCTCAAACTGTGCCAGGGGAGGTTCAGGTTGGATATCAGGAGGGATTTCTCTACTGAAAGGGTTGTTCAACACTGGAAGGGGTTGCCCAGGCAGGGGTGGAGTATCCCTCCCTGGAGATGTCCAAGGAAGTCCTGGACATGGTACTCAGGTGAYTATTTGGGGATCAGACACAGGTTGGACTGGTCTGGGAGGGCTTTCCCAGCCTCAGGGATTCTGGGATTCTGTGCTCTGGGAGGCTCTTGGTTCTCCCTGTCAGTGACGCTGAGCCCCTTCCATCCCCTGTGCTCCTGTCTGCCTCTCCCCAGTCACTCTCTGCAGCCTCCTGGGACCTTCCTGGACTCCTGGCTGATTTTCTCCTGCCTCCACCATGCCTGTGCTCTGAGTGGCAGCAGAGGGGGCAAGCTCAGGTCGAGTTCCTGCACTGATGGCAGTGTCACTGGTCCTGGGCCACATCCCAGCCTTGCTGTGAATATTGCATAGCCCATGGAAAGAGAGTCCTGCAGGGAAGCACACGGAATAGGAATCCAGCTTATGGGCTCTAAATTCGAGCTCCTCTGTTTGTCTTGGCTGTACAAGGGGTGTGAGGAGGTGTCATTGTCATTTAGAAGGCACATGGTCTCTGCTGGGTGATGTAAAACTCCTCAAAAGCACATGTCAGCAGCATTCTGACATCTGAAAGAGCTCGAGCACACACACCAAGCTTTGCATTCAAAACTGATTGCAAAAATATAAATATTTAAACTCCCATCTACAACTTTGAGTGTGAATATGCAGAGTGTATTCAATGGGTTATCAAACAAGTTTGTATCGATGGGGGCTGTATTTAAAATGTCAGGTTAGCAGGGCAGGAACATTCCATGCTTATCTCACTTGTCCTTTCCATTCTTGACCTTTCACAGAAACCGTTTTTATAGCAATAGGAAATGTGACTGAARCCTTTAATCAGCTTCCAAAGTGATTTACACCAGTCGATGATTTCTGTTAGAAACTTATTTTAAATTTAAACAAGTATTCAGTGCAGATGACATTTGCAKCCCTAACTGAAACTGGTTCATGACRTYTCAGTGRAAATGAGGAAAAATATTTTCAGGACATGGAGCTTTCACTGGTTTAAAATATGGATTTCACTGCATATCATGAATCCTGAAATACTGAGATTTCAGTATCAGGTCCTTTCTACATGTCCAACACAGTCCCGGGTGTGCAGCAGCTGATTTTTTTAATATTAATCCAAAAACTACACTGGCATCACAAAACCCAACCCTGAGCATCTAACCTTCAACCTGTCCTCAAAGAGGGAAGGCTTTGTGCTACCACTGGAGTCCCAGAACACAGGAACCCTGAAAAGCCTTCCAAGTGCAACAGCAGCAGGATAAATTAAGACCCAGAAATCTGCTGCACTTTGGGATAATCTAGCGAGAGGAGGATTTGTGCTGCAGAAGAGCYAACCACCCCGAGTACTCATAATCCCTGCTGACTTTCACACTGGATCATTTTCCAGCCAGTGCTGGACTCGCACGTCGCGTTACAGTTGTTCCCATGAGGAATACAGCAACAGTAGCTAAGGCAGGCTGATGGCACAGGGCAGGGGTCACATTACCCTGAGCTGCCATGGGGTCACCTGGCTGCAAAGGGASCTGCAAACCTTCACTTTCTGAGGCAGACAGATCCCTCAGAGAGAGAAATTTGGGAATAAAACACTAAATTTCTGAGGTTTCTGTCTGCACCTCTGCAGTAATGCATGAACCARTGCCTACAGTGAACAATTAATTTGTTTATAACAATTTTGCCTGGAAAAGCTGTGGCTGCCCCATTGCTGGAGGTGTTCCAAGCCAGGTTGGATGGGGCTTGGAGGAACCTGGGASRTRGGAAYRAGCTGAGCTTTGAGGTCCCTTCCAACTCAAACCATTCTGTGTTTCTGTGATGGTCTTTCCATCAATGTCCAAGTGCAATTTTCTCTGGAATACACCTCTCAAATCTATCCTTTCTTATCCTTCCTTCCTTACCCATCCTCCACAGCAACTGGCAGCTTCCTCAGCCAAAGGATGAGCTGCACAATGGATAAAAAAGAGCCCAAGTTCCCCAGCTCACACCCCAGGTACCCACACAGAGTGGAGTCAAAAAAACTCAGCAAAGCTGCTCATCTACACAGCTGATAAAAGGCCAGAGCTCTGTTTGGTGCTATAAGAAAACAGAAGAGAAAATTGCCTCCCTGTTCTGRTCATCTCTGCATATGAAACAAGAATTTTAATATTAAAAAAGAGGGATTTGACTGCAAACACAGTGGAATGCTATGAATATTGATTAAAAACAAACAAACCAACCCTTCCTTAACATCCAGTTCAGAAATGATCACTCAGAATATAGCTGCTGTCCATGGTTGCCTGGAGCCTTAGATAAAAGTCACCAGACTACTTATAAAATGTACTGAGACAAAGAAATGACAAAATCACTTAGTTTGGAAAAGACTTGGAAGATCCTTGAGTCCAACTGTTCTCCCAGCACTGCCAGTTCCAACCCTTTACCCATGTCCCCAAGTGCCACTTCCACATGGCTTTTAAATCCCTCCGGAGATGGGGATTTCACCACTTCCCGAGGCAGCTTCTTCCAATACCTGAAAACCCCTTAGGTGAAGACATTTTTTATAATAACCAATGTAAACCTCCCCTGGTGGAACTTGAGACCATTTTTTTCTTATCCTATCAGTAATAAAAAAAAAGATGAAGGAAGACAGCAACTTCCATGGAAGAATACCCATAGCAGGAGGAGGGATGGCAGTGCTGGATCAAAATGGAAGAGGTTTTTAAAGACAGTGCCTGCTGTTGAGATGCCTTGTTCACTATCTCAGCTGAGGGAGACACAAAGAGAGGTGAGGAGTTGATACCAGGATATGAACAGATCAACTGCAGATCTCCCCAGTCCTGCACAACCTCACTGAAATGACAGCTTAGACCAACATCACAAAATACTTCAACAGCATTTCTAATATTGCATCAGAGAAAATGGGGGAAAATACCCAGACACGAAGAAAAGCTGATGAAATACAACCCAAAATCTGTCTCCTACCTGTGACATCGATCCTGAAGGTCATTTTGTGGCCAGCAGCCTC